ACACACACACACACACACACACACACACACACACACGTGCTCTGTCCTACACACACACGTGCTCTGTCCTACACACACACACACACACACACGCTCTGTTCTCCACACACACACACACATGTGCTTTGTTCTCCACACACATACACACGCGTGCTCTGTTCTCCACACACACATGTGCTCTGTCCTCCACACACACACACACACACACACACACACATGCTCTGTCCTACACACACATGCTCTGTCCTACACACACACATGATCTGGCCTCCACACACACACACACGTGCTCTGTCCTCCACACACACGTGCTCTGTTCTCCACACACATGTTGTCGCATGCTACCACCCCCCCCAACAAGTAAAACTTTTTAAAGTGAAAAAAGAAAAAAAGAGCACAGTTTCTTGGTTTATTCTTGAGATGCCGATCTGCCCTGTGACCTGGGGAGGAGGGCTGCATGGTAGGTGAGGGAGGGTAGAGATCCTTCTGGAATCTCTCATTGTATCCCAGACTTCCTTCACAAGGAAGCAGATTAAATAGACCACAAACCATTCATTCCCCTTTTCATACAGTTCCCAGTTATGAACAGGCCAGCACCATATAGGATCCTGATTTGTGCCCATCATCTCGGTCCCCAGAATGCTTGGGGGCATAGGAGTGGGGCGGGGTTGGGGGAGGAGAGTGTGCAGAGCTTCGTCAAGGGAGCAGAAGGCAGGCACATCTCAGGGGAGGGAAGTCCCACTCTGATCTTGCGTTACCTCCCTCTCCTGAAAGAATGGGAATGAACAGGAAGGGTCCCAGCCAGGGATTGGGAGGTAGCCAGTGCTTCACTGTGGGAAGGGATAGCACCAAGAGGTATGGCGGGCATTGATGAGGGGCGGGGTGGAGAGGCGGGGTGGAGAGGTGGGGGCGGGGCTTCATCAGCTCTGAGTTAAAGCTCACTTCACTGAAGTCTGGGGAGGCAGTGGGTAGGTGGATGGAGGGGGAAAGAGCCAGCAAACAGTTGGTTATGCCACCTGGATGAATAGAAGGGAGCTGGGCTCGCCACCCTCACCTCTCCCCCGAAAAGGGAGAAAGCCCAGACAGAGACCCTGGACCCAGAGTCCCTGGTGATAAATAGAATGAATGGCCTCAAAGCCTCAGCACCAAGGAGCCCCACGTGGGCTCCCTTCAGCTTCCTTCCCGCCTTCAAAGTTCAGCTCCTAAAGCAGATGGGGCCAAGTTCAAACCCAAACTTCTGGTTCGTCTGGCCAAAGTCAATGGCAGCCACATCCCACAGAGGCAGAAAACCCGCATGAGAAGAGCTGAATTCAAAGAGCGTCTTCGCCTGTCCCTTCCGGAGCTGGCCACGAGAGGGCATGGAGGGTGAGTTAGAGCAAGAGTGAGTGGAGAGTTCCCCACTCCACCCTAGCGCCCCCACCCCGACGCGGCTCCATGGCCTTACCCGGCAGCCATCATGGGAGACCTTGACCGTAGCTGCTTGTGTCTGGTTGAAGGACAATTCTTCCCAGTTGGTCCCTTGGAAGCGGATGGAGCGCCCGTAGTCACCAGCAGCTTCGTCCAGCCAGGCCACTGAGTTCTGGCAGGAGTAAGTGAACCTCTGGTGGGCCGCGGCACTCAGCAGCTTCAGGAAGGTCAACTGAACCACATTCACAGGGGAGCCATCTGCATCCACGTAGGAGAACTGCGTGGGGCAAGGTAGGGTGAGGGGCTCCTTCAGTGCACACTCCTGCTGAGGGAGGCACCTCCCAGACCAGTCCACTCAGGGCACCGCACTTCTACCAAGTCTCAAGTAGCCCAAACTGGTCTTGTATTCCTGTTGAAGCTGAAGATGACCCTGAACTCCTGAAGTTCTAGTTCATGTAGTACTAGCAATGGAGTCCAGGGCTTAGTAGGTATCTACCCTCTTTATCTTACCTCCTACCTCAAATTCCCACACTAGTTCCCCCAAATTCTCATGTCACCCTTCAAGTCAGCCTTTGGCCACCCACCTTCTTCCCCCGGCGGAAAGTGCTGTACCAGTTTCCAGGCTTCTCTCTGGACCAGGAGGCCAGTTTCACCTGAGGGAGGATGGAAAGGTCATAGGGCACCTCCTCTGCTTCCTCATACTGGACATTGTGGATCACAGAGGCCACAGGCAGTGCCCACAATAAGGACACAGCAAGGGAGCTGGGGGATGGCTCCACAGCACCCTCACTACCCACACATTCTCTGTAGGCAGAACCCAGGCCCTGCCCATGCTCAAGTAGAGGGGACAGAAGGCTTAGTACTGCTGGGGAGTGGAGCCTGGGCCTGCGCATGCTCTTTAAGCTTTGGGGATGAAACCGACCCACCCTACCCCACCCCTGTGCACACTTGGCAAGCACTGGGGCTGGAACCCGGCAGCTCATGCATGCTGGCCAAGTACTCTAATGCTGAAGAGCTCCCTTGCCTTGAGGTTTGGATTTAGGGCCTCTACTGCAGATATTATTTGACACAATCAGGGGGACGTGCGACATTTGAAGGCAGGATAAGGTCCCACAAGTGGCCAAGGGTGGAGGAGGTAAGAGAGAGACAGGATAGTTTCCATCACTCACCGTCTCAAACTTCTTGTCTGGATAGAGACAGGTCTCACCTCCCGCAGTGAAGTTACAGAAAACCTTGAAGGCATCCTGTGAGCAGCCCTGATTGGGGTCAATCCAGTAGTCTCCTGCCGCAGAGCCAGACCCCATGCGTCAGTGGATATGGATGTTGAAACACTTGCTTGCCCTTCCCGGGGGGTGGGGGAGGGGGGACCTAGACCTCACCATCTGGCAGGTGTGGGTGGTTGCGTTGAAGCTCATGGCATATGAGGCCTGGGTGCTCAGCGGTGCCAGGAGGTCGCTGCAGCTGTTCCAGCTCCAAACTCAGTGAATTTAGAGAGGCCACCACCTCCTCCAGGCCACCTTCCGGGGTATCCGGGGTATCCGACACTGAGCGGCGCCTTCTCAGGCCATGTAGCTCCGCAGGGGGACCCTGGACCCAGGAGGAAGTGGGAATGGAGGAGAGTGAGAATCAGATAGATGGGCAGAGAAGAAGATAGACATGGGAGGCAGAGAGATTCAGAAGAGGAAGGGGGGGGGCAAGAGGAGGGGAAGAGG